AATAAATTTTCTATAATGAAATACATCATTGCATTTCCATCTCACTAACATAAGAACTTGAAAATAATTTACTTATATTTGGATGTGATATCTTTTGTATTTTGCAATAATAAGATTATTTTATTTCTTAACAAATTTATTATCAATATTCACTCATTTCTGTCGTTTTCCGTGCCAAAAATGGTAAAATAACGGATGTCGTAAAAAATAAAGACGCGCGCGTGCTTATGTAAAATTGCCAAACGTGCGTGCTGGAAGGTTAATAATATCGTGTATATAATTTAACATACCATGTTCAATTTAATTACATACTTACATTTACATACATGCATACAATTAAATTGAATGTAATTACTTACATTCAATTTAATTACATACTTTACAAGTATTATTGAGTACTTTATATACTTTACAAGTATTATTAAGTACTTTATATACTTTACAAATATGTATATACCATGTTTTAAATAATCCAAGCGTATGTAATGTAAGTAATCTAAGGCTTTGTTATAACATAAACAAGTAACACAACAAATGCACCCCATACTAATGCTTACTTAATTACAGGCGTAATCTCAGACACCAGTGTTGCAAATATTTATATTTCATCTAGTTAAAGTAGATGCACATTTGAATGAACTTAAGCTACTTCTAAGTATGTTAACAATAATATACATTAGTTAAATCATCCATGCACAGTTTTTTAATCCAAGAAATGTGTATATAAGAACATATATTTAAGTAATTCATATCTACATAATTTAAGAAATCAACATGTTTGTTAAGAACAAGAATATGTAAATAGACAAAGAATGTATTCCCGAGAACTATGCATAATTACAGATTCTGTATGTTTTAATTAGATATAATATATGTAAGTGATCACCTGCATCATTTCCACATTATGTCTGGTCTTCGGATCCCTCCAGTGACAGGTTAGAGTGGCTAGCATCCGATAGAGGACTAAATTCCATGACAATAAACTGGAAGAATTTTAAATAATGTCAGGTCAGTAGTCATCCCTGGCAGCATCGAGTCATTCAGGATGGTTTGAGGGTGCCAGCCATGACCATGAGCACAAGCCCGCATGCACCATTCAGACAGATTTATTGCAAAAGTAGGGTGGATGAACATGAATCATATAGTAAGGATTTTTTTCATTCTTATTTTTTCCCTGTTTATTTTTACTACATTCAAAGGGCACAGATTTAAAGAGCAGAAAACTACATAACCTAAGATATATACTAATCATCATTTGTAATTAACTGTTTGATGTAATTGTGTTTAATTTCGTACATTTATATAAAGAAATATGAGTGTATTTCAATATATAAATAAATAATCCATTTATTTATACAAAAAATACGAGTGTTTTCAAAGCTTAACTTTGTTACATACACCCAATTTTTAATAGAGTTTAATAATATACTGTATAATAGTATTATTATAATTAGTTAATTATTATATTTTACCATATAATTTTCAGTGCAATGAATTCTAATATAATTAATACAGTTGATTATAATAATAAAATAAATATTATAATACTATAATTAATAGTTATGCAATTTTTAACTTTGAAACTAAAATATATGTATATTAATATGCACTGAAAAAAAGATCTTGCTTAATAATTAGTTATAATAATTATACCATAATAATTGATTATTATAGTTGTTTAAATAAAATAATTTAATTGTATTATAATAAAAAATATTATATTTCCTTTTGATTTTTTTTAGTTAAAATCTATATGAGCCCAGCAGTAAAAGCTTGGTAGTTCGGTATGGGTAGTTCACAGTACTTCCCTCTGAGGTTTGAATTGTGGCGTATGGGCTCATTGAATGGGCATTTTTGCAGTTTTCCCTATCTGTAATGTGGATACAAGCCAGTTTCCATTAAAAAGTCCTCTACAGGGCATTCCTCCTTTTCTATGTAACACTTAATGTTGAAGAATGTATTAAAAACAGACAAATTAAAAAAAATCTATATGCACTATTACACATAGTTGAAATGGGGGAAAGCAGCCTTATTTCAAATAAAAAAAGTGCAAAAATAATTCTTGCATAAAAGATCACAATATTGGCAAATGACACGTTAGATCATCTATGATCAGGTAAAACCCCGCTCAAATGGAGTACATACTAGAGACAGACAAACCCCTCTGGAACTGATTCAAAGAAACGACTAAATGTAAAATATGTGCAGTTTTTATCTTTGAAAACAATTTAAGGGAAATTTGTTTAAGTTTTTATTTCATTAAATTTCATCTTTATTTAAAAATTTACAAGAAAAATTAGTTGCTTCAAAGTTGCTAGGTAAAGAATTCGGAGAACAAAGAATCTCCATAAAATAGAATCTCACTCAGAAATATTAATTTTAATTTCACTTCAGATTTCTGGAGCGGATAAATTAAGAAACACAGAAGAAAAATATTAAAATTGACTTAGGCAGTTGGTCACTGTAAGTTCAGTAAGTAAATGCAAAATTTTCGAGTAAAATGTATATGAAAAATTAAATAAAATACTTTTAAGTGCTTATAAGAAATGTCTAAAAGTTTTTGTTTTTTTTTTACAAATGGCGGGCCCTAAGCCAACTTTGGCTTGGCCACTACCAAGGCCATTTATTATGGATTACTACCAAGGCCATTTATCGCTTTATTATGGAGGCACCTAATAGGTGGGCCACCTTCCCCTCCTAATGAAGGAAAGGACAGTTACAACCATGCCTTCTCCGAGGTTCGAACCTGGGACCTTTGGTATCACACCCCGGTTCTCCAAACCAGTATACTGTCTGGGCAGTCTAAATATAAAAGTAAATGTAAGGAATCCAATTTAAAGCGACCACTCAAAATTCCATACCTTTTTAATCTTGTGTGGATCTGTTAAACTTGCATAATGATTAAAACCTATGTTTATTGTTCTCAAAAACACTGTTCTTCTTAGGGAGATAGTCACCAAGAAGATTTACTGCAAGTATACATTATTTTTAAAAAACAAAAAAACTAAAAAATAAGCTGTGTGAAGATTTTCGTGATTTTCCTAAAATAAAACGTGCCAATGAACACATTTCTGAGAATGCACTCCGCAAAGGAATCCCACCCCTTAAGCAGATTGTCGTAGTGTGCTTTGGCATAATCTAATAAACCCAAACCCTACTGAAATATTATATAGCTGACTTTCATAACTAACAAGTTGAGATTCAAGTACAGTCAAAAGTCGTTTATTCGGACATAAGACCTTTACGGCTGCGAATATGTGTGTGCACGTGCGCAAAATATGTTTACGAATGCGCGTTTAATGTACAACGGATGGTATAAGCTAAGCTAAAATTATCTAATTCAGTTAATGTTGCAGATTGCATTGTTCCTTAATCTTTGAATTGGATTCGGCTTATTATTTTTTGCAGACTGTTAAAGCAATTTTAAAAAAGTAAGCTTGAACTTTCGATTATGTCAAATAGAATTTCTGATATATATTTACTAATATGTAAAGGATCTATAAAGCAAAAGTATGTTTCGAAGTCCATTAAACAAAAAGTGGAACTGCTGCAAAAAATGGATACAGGCATATCCTTTGCTTATCTAAACAGTAACGAAATTGTTTATCAATTTTAACGCGCTCTGCAGGGGGAGGGGCGTCGCACGCAATGAATTGGAAGTTGGTCTGTCAGTACTATCCTTATCTTCAGGGCAGATGTTTTTATTTTATTTGGCTTATAATTCCTTACTAAATGTAATATTTCATCTCGATGTACTCAGTCTTTGATATGATTTAAATCAAATTCCTTGTCATTATAATTCGCTTCCGATAGCGAAGAAAGTGACAGAGGTTATTGAAAACGAAAAAATTTCGATTGACAAATTAGTCGGTATTCTCGACACAGCAATTATAGGACTTGAACAGCGGAACTTTGTAAATGAACAAGAAATTATGTCTGTTTAGAGAATTAAAGAGAATGTATTATCACATAAAAAACGAAGCAAATTAAACAACTTACATTGAAAGAAATGTTTAATAAAGTAAACAAATAAATATTAAGTTTTTTTTTTGTAAATTTTGATACCCTTTAGATCATAATTGTTCTTTATTTCATAAATTACGGTTTCATATTTTTAGTTTTATAATTTCTGCATGCCATCTTACCAGGTTTAAACTGATGATCTATAATCCGGAAAAATCGATAATCCGGAATCGCCGAAGTCCCGATGAGTCCGGATTAACGACTTTTGACTGTAGTTGACTGCACGCTGTGCATGAAAATTTTAATTACACTTTAAGAATAAACTAAAACAAAATAAGAAATAATTTTCACTATATTAGATTAACAAAAAGAAAATAACCTCATAATTAATTCACTTAGCAATTTTTTTATAGATAAGGTCATGTAGTTACCTTTCTTTTTCTAATCTTTTTCAGATTATACTTTTTTGAAAAATTACCAGTAAAATCTTTATAAAAAGTGATTTATTAATGACCTTTGTTAGTTAACTATGTCAGTTCAAAATTCTATTAAGTGCTATAAGTTGCATTAATTTTCTATGCTTAAGTTTCCTTCTTACTTTTTTCAGCAAAAATTTATTAGTTAATAAAAAATATGAAAGTAAAAATTGTCCCTTTTTCCATCTTTCACTCACGAGTCATTATTGGAATATCCATTTACAGTTATTAAAGCCTGAAAAAAGCATGTCTGCGATGTTATCGTCATGCAATGATTTGTAGATACTTTATATTTTACCACGATATTTTCAACAACAAGAAGTTTTTAAACTGTGGAGTTTTTTAACCGCTTTACTTTTTAGGACGATATTTTGTACCACGATGCTTTAGAACTGCGATGTATTCTCCCACGATGTTTTGTATAACAAAGTTTTTGCCTTGCATTGTTTTTCCCGCTACATTTTCATCTGCGATGTTATCAGCAGATACCCTGATCAAATGCTTACTTCCGCTTAACAGATAATGTAACTGCAAAAATGCGGATACAAGAATAAACAGCACTCAAGAACAATTATCATTTTATTTGTAATAATATCTAACTAAATAAAAGTATTTTTTTCTACATAAAATTCCTCCAAAGAACTCAATTTTCTTTATGAAAACTGCAATGCACATTGTTATTTGAACCCACGTTCTTCTTCCATTTCATCATATAGTTTTCTGGCATATCTGTAATGTCTTCCTTGATCAGATGGCATAAAATACCAAGCTTTGTAATCGTCCCTTGTAGCCATCAGGTATTTTGCTTTATCAATGGTATTGCTAAAAAAGAACGAGAATCAGGAAAATAGCATTCTAAGCAATGAAAAACTCTTGATAACATAATAGCTCTAAATCATTCTAAAGTTATTTCATTTAAAAGAGTTAAAAAATTTATAAAAAAAAAAAAAAAAAAAAACCTTCAATGCATGCAATTTAACACCAAAAACAATATCTTACATGAACAAACAAAAATTACAAACAGCATATTAAATGACATTTAAAGATTTAAAAAAAATTACATAAACTAAAAATGGGAGGTGTAAATTTCTCTAATACTTCGCTCCCGTGTCCAGTAACATTTAAATGGTAAATAGCTCACCTAGATTTTAGCCATAAGTAAAAATGTTTCTGACATGCCAAGGGAACAATTTTTGCCATCAAGTTAATGATTTGACAACTTTCTGGAGGATCCAGGAAAACAAATACAAATTCGGCTCTGAAAGCTAAGATGAATTACTTGTTAATGCTTAGAAGATGGGAGCCCAGAGAAATGGCCAGAGCTGCAGAGTCTCAAAAAGACTGCCGTAGCCAAAATATCGGCCAAAGAAATTCTTTCCCCACCCCCACCATTTAGGGTGTGGATAAAGTTATTGTGCGATAACCTTCCCCTGCAACTTGTCCTATGACCTTCATGCCTCACAACTATAGGGTTTCATAAATTCCCTTTCATTTTCCCTCAACAGTGCAATATTAGCTTGAGGCAGAAACTTTCAGTTGTGTTTCACATGATTAACTTGCCCTCTAGAATTCTACATAAGTAACCTAACTATACTGATATGCATATGGTATATACATATGCAAATGAGGTGTGCATGCATATGCAATGGAAATGCGAATAAAAGCATACACATATACAGTGGATGGATAAAAATATGGAAACACCTTGTGAAATGCATGTTTGAAAAGAAAGATTGATTTTAATGAAATATGCAGGTGGTGCTGGCGTTTTTGACTACTGACGCCACCTATACAACTTCGTAAATGTGCTAAACATTTCAGTTATTGTCCGAGTACTGTTGTGTGAGGTTGTCATTGCATTATGTCAGAGCTAACAGACTTTGAACGTGGGCAAATTGTTGGAGCATGTATGGTAGGTGCTTCCGTAAGCAAGGTAGCCGAGGTGTTTAGTGTTTCAAGAGGTACTGTATCGAAGATTTATTCCGCATCTTTGAAAAGCGGAAAAACATCAGCTGCTAAATCACAGTGCGGACGAAAGTGTGTCCTGAGTGATCGTGACAGACGATCATTAAGGGCAATTGTGACAAAAAATAAGAAGACCACAGCTGCAAAAGTTACTGCTGAAATGAATGTTGTGTTACCGAACCCTGTGAGTACAAAAACAATTAGAAGGGAGCTTCATAAACAGCGAATTGCTGGCCGTGCTGCAATTGAGAAGCCACTCATCAGTGATGCCCGTAACAGGAAAAGTTGGTGTTTAAGTCATAAATCCTGGACTATAGAGCAGTGGAAGCGAGTAATATGGTCTGACGAGGCTTCTTTCACATTGTTTCCCACTTCTGGCCGAGTTTACGTCTGGAGAACGCCATCTCAAGCCTATAATACAGAGTTAAATACAGAGTTGTTGCCAAGAGTGAAACATGGCGGGGGTTCTGTTATGGTTTGGGCAGCCATATCGTGGTTTTCTGCTAGCCCCACGATAACTGTGTCAGGGCACATGACTGCCAAGACTTATGTGAACATTTTGGCCGATCAAGTTCATCCCATGGTACAAACTTTGTTCCCCGATGGTGATGGTGTCTTCCAAGACGACAAAGCCCCTGTTCACACAGCTCCCATTGTCCAGGACTAGTTTTCTGAGCACGAGGATGAGTTGTCCCATCTCCCCTGGCCACCACAGCCACCAGACCTGAATATTATCGAACCTTTGTGGTCTACATTGGAACGGAAAGTGTGTTCTCGTTATCCACTGCCAACATCGTTATCTGAACTTGCCACTGTTTTGCAGAAAGAATGGTATAATATTCCCTTGGCAAACATACAGGAACTGTATTTATCCATTCCGAGAAAACTGCAAGCTGTTTTGGATGCCAACGGGTTTCCTACACCATATTAAGCAAAGAATCATGTTTTTTTAAAGGTGTTTCCATATTTTTGTCCAACCCCTGTATATGCACAAATATATACACATAAAACATATTTAGTTGGATATATGCATATGCGGATAAAAGCATACACATGTACGTATGTGTAAATGCCATGTATATATGACTGTGTACATATATAGATGTATCCCATATATCTGTGTGTATACAATTATATATTTAAATTCAAGCATTATATTCATTTATATTTTTTTTTGCATTTGGCATCGGCACAGAAGTTTTATTCAAAAATACAAAGAGACGAAACGCCCAATTATTGATGATTTTATGGAAAAAGACTATTTCCCCTTACAAAGTCAGGACATTCTATGAGATCATTAAATAATTTCTCTTATATATTTGCTTTCTAAAATTATTTTATTTTATTTATTTATTTATTTATTTTTTTTTTTTTGTTTTAATATTTGCAAATCCACAATGTGGCAAAAAAGCAAAATGTGGGAAATGTATTAAATTACAGTTTTACAGCATCTACTACTACAATTTCACTTTTAAAAAATCTCTCGTTAAATTAGCATTTACCCTTAGTTTCCTAGAAGATAATCAAAATAAGAATTATTAATTAAAATATAAATACATATGTATCCTGGTGATTCTCGAAGGTTCTATTCTCTGCTGCAGCTAAATAAAGCTTCTTTTTTTCTCCTACACGTACAATTAGCATATGAGCCAGTTTCATGCAGAATGTCCTTAACAGAGACCTATCAGCATCTAAACGATAAACACCACTGAACACTGGTAGTTTAATCTGGGATTCGATTCCCGGCGAACAGGCTGGCTGCATGGGCGTTTTCGAGGTTTGTCCCCATCTGTAACTTGCATACAAGCCACTTCCCAACAAAATATCTTCATGAAGCGTTCTTCCGTTTCCATGTAGTGCCTAATGGCGAAGCACATAATAAATAAATTCCTTAACTATGTTATTTTTCCATATAGGCAAACACTGCTAGCATAATTTTGCATAATCATGCAGTCTTATTCATCTATAATATCTAATTTGATCTATATTACTTATTTATCTTATTTCATATTTTACCAAAATATTGAATTACTTTTTGGCATATGCTTTTTTTTTTAATTAAGAAAGAAATTGTCATCACTGTCATAATAACAAGATTATACTAAATATCATTTGTAATTTCAGTTTTCCTCACATTCTTGTGCATAATGAAAAACGAGTTAAATTCCTGTAGAGATGACCTGCAAGAATTGGTGATCTGCAGGAATTGATTCCTGCAGAGGTGCTCTGCATAACAGCATCTATATTTTGAGAGGATAAGTATCTGTTTGTGAACAATTCCAGTCTCTATATGCACATATAAATAAAAGTTGGAATATTTGTATTACGACCAAGGTGCAAAGGGCTATCTGCCAAAGGCAGAAGGGTCTTTCTGGAGGACATTTTAAGGGAAATTGGTTGGTAGTTATGTTACACATGATGCCACATCCAGCCTGGTAGTTCACTGAAATGTCAAACGAACCTAGCTATCAGTGTTCATTGCTTTTACCACTCAACCTCTGGTGGGTCTATATAAATAAATAAAGTTAATAAATCTTGAAATTTTATGACATTAGTATCAATTTCACCAATTTTTTAGTGTAATCAAAAATGTATTTTTTCTTTATGTTTCAATTTTTTATTGCCATTTTTGTATTTAATATTGTTGTTCGAAACATGCAAAATGCAATGAAAATATAATCGATAAAATCCTTTTTTTTTATAATAAAGAGAATATTAAAAGTAAAACCAATGCTAATGGAAAAGAAAAAAAGCGTTCATAATAAAAATGCAAGAAAGAACAATGATCAATAAATGTAGTTGAAAGGAGAAATACTTAATATAATAGGGACGAAATCAGCAAATTAAAAAAAAAAAAAAAAAGAACTGAATAAGGATGAATAAGGAAAGGTAAATGAAACTCAAACAAAAATACAAGACAATTTGCTAAACATATAAATATAAGTTGTTACACAATGTTTGTAACAAATTAATGTGAATTGCCAATTTATGCGAGAAACAAATAGTTAAACATAATTTTCAAGTATAAATTAAAACTGTTAATCTGTACATGTAATTCTAAACTAAATTCTGTTTGAAAACAAATAAAAACTGATTAGACTATGTTGATTTTAAGTGCACCTAGGAGGTATTTACTGCTAAGGGATAGTTTCATTACAACATGAAGTCAATATAGTTTCCATCACTTGACAATTACTTAGCTACAAAATCTCACCATCATATGTTTGCCTAGTTTATAGAAAAGAGAAAAAATTCCTTTGTCTTATTCCCTAGTCTCTTATCTGAGAATTAACAAAGGCAACCTTAAGGAAAGGTTACAATACAATAATAGTTTCCCTTTACAGTGGCAGCTAAAAGGGGATGCAAATGAATTAGGATTACCCATCCTTTTAAGTGAAACCTTTCCAAACTCCCCAGTCTTTTAAAGGTTAATCAGCTGCTACAGCTATTTATTGTGCTGTACATCAATATGAATTTATAATAAACTGTCAGTTTCTTCCTGCTCATCCAAAGTGATTATTTACAAAGATAATCGTGAACCAAAGCAATAACCAGTGTTAGAATTGTGCATCTGTTTGAACACATGTAACAAGAAAGATGGAATACTAGCTGAAAACCATTATGGAAATAAATGCTGCTAGGTAAGAAGCAGCAGTAGCGTGTTCTTCTGAAATAAATAGAAAATGAAAACCAAAGGAAATGCCATGGAGAGGAAGCAGCTGAAATGAATTTGAATTTATACTTCAAAGAGAACATCTTGAATGCTGTGAATGAGAGACTTGAAAAAGAAATTTTAAGCTTCGAAAAGAAATTTCTGAGACAGCTTCATCTCTAAACAACACATTTTGGCTCTTTCA